GGCAGTTGTGCTTGGGGCTAGAGCTCCCCCAGAGCCCTGGGAGTGGTCCTACCCCAGAAGACTGCCCCCCTCCTCTGCCCCCCCATCAGCTGATGGGTGGGGTGGGCAGAGGGATCATTCTTCCCCAGTAAAGCCAATAGGTAGCATCTCAGAACATGATGCAGGATCTGGCCCTATATACATTTTCAGTGTCTGGTTTTCTACTGAAATCATTAGAAATGAATTTGTTTCTATAGTTTTTAAATGTTTAACAAGAGGATTAAAAATGTAACTGTTCTATGACACTTCAGATGGGTAAGGTTTGCATGCTTCCCTTCTGCGTCAGTCATATCAGCCTACTGACAGTGATTAAGGACTTCTAGTTATACTCATTTGTTTCTCTAAGGTTAATAAGTTCTACATATGGTAAACCAGAGACAAAGCTGAATCAGGAGGGACTGAGGCCAACTCAGCCACCCATACCACGAATGTCTGAAAACTAAAATTAACTCTTCCACCTAAAAAACCCACCAAAATCATGAAATGGTTATGATTTCAAGCCAATCTTTTGGCAACGCTGCATTATTTTTGTTTGCTTGATCCTTTAGGTTGCTCTTCCTTCCAATTTTCAAGCTTTCTCTGATGACAGGAAACTTAGCCTTTTATTTTTATACTGCAAGCTGAAAGTCCCAGCAGCTGAGAGTTTTATAAAAATACTAAATAATGCAAGACTCATGATAAAATTACAAGAGTTGGCAGGACTAGTAGAGTCATAGTTAAAATGTGAAGTTCAGTACAGGGGAGGGGGAGGGGAGAGAGGTGTCAAAAGGAACAACCTGGGGAATATGAACCAGCCATTTTAGGTTTCAGCAAGCAAAACAGTTGTCTTGTCAGTCAAGACTGGTCCACAGCTTTTTAAATGAGAGTCCTAGGATTACTTCAAAGGTTGGCAGATGAGACACTAAAAGGTCATAGCTCTGAAATCTGGCTGCCCTGCAAAAGGGATATTTTTTCTGAGTCCGTGCCATGCTCACCTCGCAGAGAAAAAATAGTTTTCATAGCCAGAAAACTGTCATCAATTATCTGATGAAATAAAAGATACTGTAACATGCTTTTCCAGATTATATTCCTCTGGTATCATTCAAATCGGGCAGGATTTATGTTTCTTTGGGGCATTATTCTTAATCTTTTGTTTTTTTCAATTATGCATTAAAGCATTACACAATATTAGGACAATGTATTGTCCTGATAGTCTATTTGAGCAGAAGGCCTATTACACGAATTAATTCAGTACAAATGAGAAGCTCTGAATGAATTTCAGAACTCCTTGTGGAACAATATTATCAATGTTGGTGTTTTGCTTTTTTCACTTGTTTAGCAGACTATTAGCAGGACTTGTGTTCTTGAACATTGATACAGTGGCTTTATTATAGTTTTTCTATGCATCTAGTTCTTGCTGGTTACTTCAGCAAACAGTTGAGCAGCATTAAAGGTAGTGTCAGACTCGATACACTCACAGTTTGCCTGACTATGTCATGCAGATTTCAACACCAAGGCTATGGTTAGAATGGAAGTAAAGAAACTTTTTCTGAGTTATTTTAAGGGAATACTATTGACACTACAGCTGTTCAAGAGCTCAAATCTCCATGCTGTGGAAAATTCCAAATCTTTGAAAAAGAGGTTTTATTTTGACACAAAATTGACACAGGTAGAATTTCATCATTTCCCATGGAGGAGAAACTGTACTGAACATTTGTTATGAAAAACTAAAACATTTCATTTAAGGAATTTAAAATCAGAATGAGCCTGGGAGCCTATGTCCTGAGGCTTGAGCTCAGCTAAAGATCTCAGAACTTCTACCTTCCTGGCTCCCCATTAGCACAAACGAACTGTCAGGAACTGGAAGTATGAAGATGAGGATGCCAGTCTCTTGGTCCTGCAGCTGAGAGCATGAAAGACCTGAGAACCCCAGCATGAACTGTTGTTTTCAGAGCTGCCAGGCTTTCTGCTGCAGTGTTATAGCACAAACTGCAAGAAGCTGGGACAACCAAGGCCGCCAGTCCCAATCTCAAGAAGGTTTCTTAAGGCTTGCATGCTCTTTTTTGATCTTTTGTGTCAAAAAGATCCTGACAGCAGTTTCTAAGCTGGCAGGGTCTACACTCCTTTTCAAGGAGTCTAAAAGGCTGAAGGGCCTCTGGTTTTCAGGGCTTTGGGATGCCCCAGTAAGGTAGCTAAAGCTGGCATTCCCAAGCTTCCAGACTCTATGACAGGTAGTCTGATATTCCTGGTGGCCCTGGCCTTGGAGCAACCTTTCTTGCCAGGGTCTCTTGAGGGACCCCTCGACCTGGAGGGATGTGGGCAGTGGGTTCCACAGGGCTCGGTCCTCAGGCCCGCACTGTTCAACATCTTCATCAGTGACTTGGACGAGGGGGTAAAAAGCACCCTGTTCAAATTTGCTGATGACACTAAGATGTGGGGGGATGTGGGCATGCTAGAAGGGAGGAATAGGCTGCAATCGGACCTAGACAGGTTACAGGGGTGGG